ATCATTTGACAATCTGACCCACTCTGGTAGTTAAAAAACCCACCTCTAGCCGGGTGTCAGTGGCTCATGCCTGTAATCTTAGCTATTCAGGAGGCTGAGATCTGAAGAAAATGGTTCAAACCAGTCTTGACAAGAGAGTCGGAGACTCTTATCCCCAATTAAGTACTAAAAAGTTGGGAGGAGAACTGTGGCTCAAATAGCAGAACACTAGCCTTAAGCGAAAAAACTATAAGGGACAGTTAGTTCTCAGGCCCTGAGTTCAAGCCCCCAAATCATCACAAAAACAAACAATCAAATCCTACCTCTATGCCAGATGCCATCAAAGCTCAATGTTTAGCATAGAATTCTCTTGACTTGGGTACCCAATTGTCTAAAATAACTTCACCAGCAAAAAGCTGAAGTGGAGGTATGGCTCAAATGGTAGCCGTTTCAGCAAAAAAGCTGAATAACAGGGAGAAGCCAAGAGTTCAAGCCTCAGTATGAACGCATGCAACCCCCACCTCCACCCTCACCCCCATCCCTACATACTCAAATGATCTGTATAGATTTGGGTAAAGGATCAAACAGATTTGATCATATCTACTCCAAAGAAGATAGGATCAGAATTAAACACCCTAATATAGGTGTCAAGCTCCCTTGCTTTTTTCTAAAACTAGATGCTTCTCTAAAGAAGATATGTTCAACAGACACATGAACCAGGCGCCGGTGGCTCACACCTGTAATCCTAGCTACTCAGGAGGCTGAAATCTGAAGATCTGGTTCAAAGCCAGCCCAGGCAGGAAAGTCCATGAGACTCTTATCTCCAATAAACCACCAGAAAACCAGAAGTGGCACTGTGGCTCAAGTGGTAGAGCGCTTGCCTTGAGCTGAAGAGCTGAGGGACAGTGCCCAGGCCCAGAGCTCGAGCCCCACAACTGACCAAAAAAAAACAAAACCAAACCAACCCAGACACATGAAAAGATAAAATATTAAAAATTAGGGAAAAGTAAGTAAGACCACAATGGGTTACTACTTTAAACCTACTGGGATGAGTACAGTAAAAAAGACAAAGAGTAATAGAGCTGGGGTTGTAGCTCTAATGTAGAGTGCCTGCCTAGGAAGCTTGGGGATCTGAGTTCAAACTCTAGTACTGTTAAAAAAAAAAGTGACTAAGAGAGGGAGTGAATTTGATCAATATCACAATGAAACACCTTTGTACAATTAATAGGTAATAATAAAAATACTAAAAAAATTAATGGAAATGTAGATCTGCAGCAGAAAGCTTTCCCAACATATGCAAGACCCTTGGTTCCATCTACAATACCCTCTTACATGATCTCATTAACAGGTGTTAGTAAAAATGTGGAAAAACTGGAATTGAAATACATTCCTGGGGGATACACAACAGTACAGGACTTTAGAGAACAATTTGGCAGTTTTCCACAAAAATTAAATATAGTTACCATAGGACCTAATAAGTTCACCTCTAGGAATACCCAAGAAAAATGAAAACACGTGTTTACATAAAACTGATACACAAATGTTTCTAACTCCATTATCTACAATAGAGGAAAATGTAATAATATCAAACATAAAATGTGGTATATTTATAAGTAACAGTATTATTTAACCATACAAAGGAAAGAAGTATATACAAATATACAGTGATACAATGCTAAGTCAAAAAGGCCAGACAAAAAAGGGCACATGCAAGACTTATTTATATGAAATACTCAGAAGCAAATTTGTAGGTACATAAAGTAGAGGAGTTGCCAAAGGCTGAGAGGAGGAAGAAATGGGAATGATAGCCAATAAAGTTTCTTTTGGGAGTAATAAAAATCTTCTGAGATGAGATAGTGGTGACGCTGACACGCTTCTGGCTAAATATAAAAAGCCACAGTGGGGCTGGGAATGTGGCTCAGTGGTAGCGCTTGCCTTGCATGCATGAGGCCCTGGGTTAGATTCCTCAGCACCACATATGCAGAAAAAGCCAGAAGTGGCACTGTGGCTAGCCTTGAGCTGAAGAGCTGCGGGACAGTGCCCAGGCCCAGAGTTCAGGCCCCATGACCAAGCAAAAAAAAAAAAAAAAACCCACAGGATTATGCATTTTCTCTTTTGTGCTGGTACTGAGGCTTAAGCTCTGGGCCTTACATTCTTGCTTGGTTATGCTCATGGCTGGCAGGCACTTGACCACTTGAGCCACATCTCTAGTCCTGTAGTCTTGTGAATTATTTTACTCTTGATCTTCAGATTACTGACTTGAGATACCAGTGCTTGGCTCATAATTATACATCTTAAAAAGGCAAATAACAAATGAAAATATCTATTTCCTTAGTGGATTTTGTGGAAAGCAGGGAGCCTGTCTGAGACATTTCTGATTCTTTAGCACCTGATGCAAGGTAGAATATGTGCTATTGATCAACAAATGGAGATTGAATAATTGTTATATAGGGCTCAGTAGACACTAGAGTACAATGCAAAAGAAAAGTCATCCTAGAAATGGGAGGTCTTATGTCCACACTTGTGCACACATTCATGAGAGCTGCATCAGCATATAGCAGGACAATGTGTCAAAAAGTGCCCTTGACTGCAGAAACAACAAAATCCATGATTCCAGTCCCATCTTTGCTTCTGCTCACTGTATAGCTCTGGTAAATGCCTTCTGCTGCAAGATTGAAGAGCTGTGAGGGAAATAAGTGATTTGTATTTAAGTGCAGCTTCCCAATCCTCTTTGGATAACCACAGTGAATGTTGTTTTATTAAATGTCAGCCTAGTCAGTAGCCTTATATTTGTCTTTTTCTTTTTCTGTGTCGGTCGTGGGGCTTGAACTCTGGGCCTGGGCGCGGTCTCTGCACTCTTCAGCTCAAGGCGAGCACTCTACTTGAGCCACAGTGTCATTTCCAGTTTTCTAGTGGTTTGAGTCTCACAAAGTTTCCTGCCCAGGCTGGCTTTGAACCATGATCCTCAGATCTCAGCCTCCTGAGTAGCTAGGATTACAGGCATGAACCACCAGCACCCGGCTTGTCTTTTTCTTTTTAAATCTGGAAGATAGGCTGGTATTCCCAGTTCATGTCCTATCAGTGTTTAGTTGTGAGGACTTAAGGAAAATCATGTTCTTCAATCTCCTCAAGTATAAAAAAGGGACAGTGAAATAAACTTAATTTGATACGTTACTTTTTCTGGTGCTGGTAATGCTTGGCTTTTTCTGCTCAAAGCTACCCCACTACCATTTAAGCCACTCTCCTTTTCTGGCTTTTTGCTAGTTATTTACAAATAAGTCTCAGGGACTTCTCTGGACTGGCTTTGAACCTTTATCCTCAAATTTCAACCTCTTGAGTAGGTAAGATTACAGGTGTGGGCTACCACCCAACTTGATACATGTTCTTAGAAGCTTAACATACGCACAGTTTCATTCTAAATTGTTGGGTTTGTTTGTATGTTTATTTTTTACTTTTATTATTTTTTTTTTGTCGGTCGTGGGACTTGAACTCTGAGCCTGGGTTCTGTCTCTGAGATCTTCAGCTCCAAGCTAGCACTCTACCACTTGAGCTACAGCACCATTTCTAGTTTTCTGGTGGTTTATTGGAGATAAGTCTCACCGACCTAACTGTCCAGGGCTGGCTTTCAGCCAGGATCCTCAGATCTCAGCCTCCTGAGTAGCTAGGTTTATAGGTGTGAGCCACTGGCACCCGGCTTGTATGTTTATTTTTGGGGGACTGGGCCTTCCTGTTTGTTACCTAGGTTGGCCTGGAACTCCTGACTCAAGGGATTCTTGTCACAGTTTCCAGAATAGTTGGGGAAACAGGAACACACAATTGTGCCCACCTTACTCTAAATTCTAAAGGGCTGTAAGGATGACTGTTACTTGCTTTTCTGTACTTTAACTTCATTATCTTTTTGTTGTTGTTGTTTTTTTGGGTCCAGTCGTGGGCCTGAACTCTGGGCCTGGGCGCTGTCCCTCAGCTCTCCAGCTCAAGGCTAGCGCTCTACCAGTTGAGCCACAGCGCCACTTCCTGCTTTTTTTTTCTTTTTGCTTATGTGGTGCTGAGGAATCGAACCCAGGGCCTCCAGCATGCAAGGCAAGCACTCTACTACTGAGCCACCTTCCCAGCCTGTTGTTTTGATGCCAGTTCTGGGGCTTGAATTTAGGGCTTAGGTGCTGTACTTGAGCCTTTGTGCTCAAGGCCACTTAAGCCACGGTTCCACTTCTGGATTTTTTTTTTTTTGGTCTGTCGTGGGACCTGAGCTTTGGGCCTGGGTGCTGTCCCTCAGCTCTTCAGAACTCAAGGCTAGCACTCTACCGGTTGAGCCACAGTGTCACTTTCGGCTTTTTTCTGCTTATGTGGTGCTGAGGAATCAAACCCAGGTCCTCATGCATGCAAGGCAAGCACTCTACCACTGAGCCATCTTCTCAGCACCCACTTCGGGGTTTTTTTTTTTTTGATGGCTAACTAGAGCTAAGTTTCCTGCTTAGGCTCAGATCTGTCTCTTGGAGTAGCTAGGATTACGGGCGTGGGCTATTTGTGCCCGGTTTATAATCTTTTTAAAAGTCAGACAAGTGTATCTGTACTAGAAGCAACAATGACTCAAATTAAATGTATTCTTTTCGGGGAATATTGGGGGTAGGAGGATTATTTTGGGTCAGAGGATTTAAAGGTAATTGAAATTACTGCAATTGTGCGCAGTAATTGTACCTCACAGGCTCTGCAAGTCTGGCACAAGGCACAGAGGCGGGGACGAGTAACCAATGAGACAAACGTTTCTTGGACAGAAATAAAGTCAAGCACAGCCGTGGAGAGAGGGTACAGGGAACAGACAGTTGGCTGTAGTCCCGCCCCAGAAGCCGGAAGGATGGTATAGCTGAGTCCAGGCTACTTCGTTTGCTGTTGACAATGGGGGGAGGGAGGGGAAGAAGGGAGAGGAGGGATCGGCAAGCAGCGGATAAACGAATGAATGAATGAACGAACGACGCTCCCGGACTGGGCTGGAGGAGGCCCGGCACGGGCGACCGGGCTGGTACCTGCGAAGCCGCTGTAGTGGGCCCCGGGCTCGTAGTGCCGCCGGCCCGAGGACACGTCGTAGACGCGGCCGAGAAAGGCCAAGTACAGGCCCGGGTCCCCAGGGCCGCCACGGTAGCGGGCCAGCTCCTCGGGGGTAAAAAGACGAAGGTCAGCACGGGCGCCACACCAGCCCCGCAGCCACGCCACCATTATTGCTGCCGCCGCTGCCGCCAGGCTCCACGCCAGGGAGGGCCCGCAGCACCTCCGCAAGGACGGCTGCAGGCACACCGCACTTCCTGAAGCCATAGGAAATGACGTAACCGAAGCGCCTCCCTCGCGCGCTCAGCGTGGAGGCAGGCTCACTCCCTGCCTCGGGTTATGCTCCTCGTGTTTTTCCAGCATAGCTCATGAACTACAGAGGGCTCCAGAAGAAGCGAGCAGAGCAGCACCGAAGGAGCTCTGCTTCTAATTCTCCGCCCCAACAAAGATGGCGGCAGAGGAAGGTGTGAGGTGACGTGCGGCGTTCCTGGAAACCGAGGTTGCCGTCCCGCTGTCCTCGCCGAGCTGTCGTGACCTGGCGGTGGCCGACTTACGGCGCCTCCCGCGACGGCAGCGCTCGCTTGACGGCCAGGAAGCCGGAAGTCGCCGCCGTCGCCGCCGCCCCTCCGAATCCCCGCCCGCCGGAGCTGTCGGAGGTTGACAGGTCGAGGCCGGGCGGCGGTGGCGGCGGCGGCGGCGGCGGCGGAGCGCAGCGCCCAGACCCAGGCCCCATGGGGAACGCGCCGAGTAACAGTAGTGACGACGAAGCGGCGGCCGCCGGGGCCGAGGGTTGGGGTCCGCACGCGGACTGGGCTGCGGACCCGGGTGCGACCCCCGGCCCGGGGCCCGCGGCCCCGGCGCTGCCGCCCGCCGCCTCACTGCTGGAACCAGCCCGGCTGCGGGAAGCAGCCGCGGCACTGCGGCCCACGCCGCCCTGCGAGTCACTGGTGTCGCGGCACCACGGCGCGCTGCTGCGCTGGCTGGAGGAGCGTCTGGGCCGCGGCGAGGAGTCCGTCACCCTGGAACAGTTCCGGGAGCTGCTGGAGGCGCGCGGCGCTGGCTGCTCCGGAGAGCAGTTCGAGGAGGTCAGAGCGCTCGAGTGACGAGGGGACCCGGGCGGGGCAGCGTCCCCAAAAGGCGTGAAGAGGTGGGCGGTTGCTATGGGGAGGCCAAGTTGGAACCCGTAGGGCCCACAGGTACTTAAAGTGGAAGCATGGGGGTTGCCGCGACCCATTTGGGGTGCATCTAATTGGTTCTTCAGGCTTTCACTGTTACCTTTTTAACCCTTGTTAGAGGCGTGGAGAGTTTAGGCTGTCGTTGCCCTGAAGAACTGGAAAAGCCAAGGTATCTTCGTGTATTGTAGTCCAGACAAATGTATGCAGGTGACAGATTTCAGTTGCTCTAGGACCCTTTCAGAGAAAGAATATTCAAGGATCAAGGGAGAGACGGTGAAAACGGCTGATTTACTGATCCACGCACAGAGCACTGTCCAAATCTATGGCGGAGACTATACTGGAGAGACTTACACTCCACAAGCCATTCTTATCTCTAAAAAGCATTAGCTTTTCCAAATCACTTGGGTTTAGACCCTTAAAGAACCTGCTTGAAAAAAAAAAAAAAGAACCCGCTTTAGTCTCGTTTGAACACTATGGAGCTGGGTGCTGGTGGCTCATGCCTATAACCCTAGGTACTTAGAAGCCAGCCCAGACAGATAAATATGACACTTATCTCCAATTAGCCAGCAAAAACTCGGAAGAGGTGTCGTTCAGGTAGTCGAGCACCAGCTTTGACATGTATGCAGGAAGTCCAGAGTTTGAGCTCCAGTACACACACACACACACACACACACACACACACACACACACACACAAATTCTTATAGACCTAAAATTGTTCAGCTCATAATCAAAGCTTTTCCTCTGAATACCTGTTTTAAGAGTGAGGAAAAATTAATTCAGAATGAATCAAATGAATCATGTCATTGGGAAAACTGGGACTATCCCTGTATGTTGACTTTTTTTTTTTTTTTACTATTTCACTGCCTCTCCCTGAGAGCCTATTTCAAATCAACAGTGTTATGACAAGAAGTTTGTTTAATTTGTGAAAATGAGTAAGCCATGTGGAATGGTCAGTCAGTGAAAGGTGAGTTACATAAAGCAATAAATCAACAAGTAATTGTCATGGAAAAGTAGTGTCTAGTTAAGACCAGAGGCTTTTGAAATGTTTCACACCATTAATCCTAGCTCCTCATTTAGGAGGCTGAGATCTGAGGATCAACGTTCAAAGCCAGCCCAGGAAGAAAAGTCCATAGGACTTTTATCTCCAATTAGTCACCCCCAAAAGCCAGAAGTGGAGCCATGGCTAAGCAGTAAAGCACTAACTTTGAACAAAAAAATTTAGGGACAGTGTCCAGGCCCCAAGTTCAAGCTCCTGGAACTGCACACACAGAAAAAGAATGTGTTCCTGTGCATGGTGAGAATATTCAGATGATATAGTTGGTATGTTTTGTTTTCCTTTCAAAAATGCCCTTAAGGAAGCCCAACTCCTATAATCCAAAATATTGATCATATAGTTAGTGAAAGATCTTCATTAAAAAAATTCAAGAGTTAATTTCTCTTTAGTATTTACATGATTTTGAAAATATAAAGCCATGGTAGAAAGCCATGGAGGTTTGCTCAAAGAGTTGTCTCTTTTCAGTTTTATCCAAAGGCAAATGGAGAGAAAGTTATTTCTGACAAGGACAGAATTACATATGGGATTTATAAAGGTTCTGTAACATAAGGCCAAGAAATTCTATAGGCATAGTCCAGAAAATCATTCAAGGGTTGTGGCATTATTCATTGGTTCTGAGCCTATGTTGAATGTCAGTCATTTAGATGACAGCATACATAGTGGATAATTCCTCTCAAAGTCTGTAGTGTAGCTAGTCACAAGTGGCTCATACCTGTAATCATAGCTGCTTGGAAGGCTGAGAACAGGAGGATTGTAGTTCCAGACCAGCCGGGGCAGAAAAGTCAGGGAGACCCCCTTAACCCATATCTGGGAGCAGTGGTATACATTGTCATCCCAAGTTATATGGGAGGCTAAGATTGGTAGAATTGTGGTGCCAGGCCACACAGTCTGTTCCCACAAACAATCCTGCAGATGCAGGACTCCCATCTCCATGGAAGGAAGTTGGACACAGTATCTGTCCTGGGGTCCCTCCACAGAAGCCTGTAGTAGTGGATGATGGCTCAAGCTGAGGGAGAAGGAAACTCTACCCTAAAAATAACCAGTGAAAAATAGGGCTGAAAGTGTGACTGAAAAGTATCCAATCAGCCTATCATATATGAGGGCTCTAAGCTCAAATCCCCCAATACTTCTTTTTTTTTTTTTTTGGTCAGTCGTGGGGCTTGAACTCTGGGCCTGGGCGTTGTCCCTCAGCTCTTCAGCTCAAAGCGAGCACTCTACCGCTTGAGCTACAGCGCCACTTCCGGTTTTCTGGTGGTTTATTGGAGATAGGAGTCTCACGGTCTCTCCTGCCCTCCTGCCCAGGCTGGCTTTGAACCGAGATCCTCAGATCTCAGCCTCCTGAGTAGCTAGGATTACCGGCGTGAGCCACCAGTGCCCGGCCCCCAATACTTCTAAAGAGTAAAAAATGAGTAAAAATATGTAGTGTGGGAAAAGTGAGATATTAACCTAATAATTAAAGGTATAGTAACTACTATTTAAGATGAAGCAAAAGGCAAGGCTGGTTTAACACATAAATCAATAAGTGTAATACAACAATAGAGCTAAAGGCAAGAACCACATGATCATCTCCATAGAGACAGCAAAAGCCTTTGACAAAACCCAACATTTATTCACTTTAAAAACCTCTGGAGAAGCTATGAATAGAAAATACCTCAAATTAATAAAGGCTATATATGACAGACCAATAGCCATTATCATACTGAATGATGAAAAACTAAAACCATTTCTTTAAAATCAGGAACAATGCAAAGATGGCCGCTGTCTCCACTCCTCTTCAATATAGTTCTGGAATTCCTAGCTAGAGCAATAAGATGAAGCATAAGGAATAAATAGCAAATATACTTAATTTTGTTTAGGGAGTGAAGTAAGAAATATCTTAAAAAGTAGCTGGGTGCCTTTGGCTCAAGCCTGTAATCCTAGCTGAGATCTGAGGATCACTGTTCAAAGCCAGCCTGGGGCAGGAAAGTCCATGAGACTTTTATCTCCAATAAGCCACTCAGAAAACCCAAGGTGGTGCTTTGGCTCAAGTGGAAGAGTGCTAGCCTTGAGCTGAAGAGCTAAGGGACAGTGCTCAGGCCCAGAGTTCAAGCCCCATGACTGACAAAAAGAAAAAAGAAAAAAATACCTTAAAAAGTAACCCCAAATTAGAAGGATGAAAGTTGACAAGATATAAAAGATAGCAGTGTTTTCTGGCAAGCTTAAAAACTTGGTGGTCGCCAGGCCACCATTTTTATTAGAATTTTGTAGAGTTGATTCTCATTGGTATGCATGATTTATTATTACAATGTTAAGAATTTCCAAGTATCACATCCTTGTTCTTTGGCCTTCTAATTTGCAGTGCTGTCCATGTCCATCAACCTGTCAGCCTTTCACATTCTTCTGATCTTACTGGCTTATGAAGTCGTAAAATGTTCTTGGAGTTGTACCATAGAACAAAGTCTGAAAGGGTATCACTTTATAAATACAACACACCTTTTCTTATAGTAGGTGTGGTGCAGGAGAAGGGCTCTTTGGTTTATTCATGGGGTGCAATATTCAATAGACTCCTGGGTAGAGAGTTAAAATTAAATTCTTATTTTACATTGGATTAGAGATTAGATATGTGCTCTTACAGTACTAAGGTATGCATCTAGGAAATCATGTAGCCTTTAGAGCAGAACAAAGTGCTGAGAACTGGATGATAGCAGTGAGGATAGGTTTTACTTTATTTGCCATATTTTGTAATCCAGTGGGTTGTGAGTTCTGAGGGAAGAACTATTTGGATTTATCTCTGTTCGTAGTCTTGTCAGTCTTGGCTCATAGTCAGTACATTTTACATGAAGGTATAGTCTTCTTGTTCAGTCTATAACCTTTGATTTCCAGCCATTGTAAGAAATAGTTTACTTACACAGTTGAGTGAAAACTGAAAACAGTTCTAAGTCATAGCTGGATTTAGAGGAAATCTGAAGAAAAGTACTATAACCTCCCTTCCCATTGTCATGCCAGAAGTACTAATAGACTAATTAAAATGACTTTCAGCCTAAGGACTGTACAAGTAGAACTATGCAGATGCAGTTCTCTTCTATTTTATTTTATTTTTTTTGGGTTTGGTCGTGGGCCTGAATTCTGGGCCTGGGCGCTGTCCCTCAGCTTTTCAGCTCAAGACTAGCTAGTGCTCTACCACTAGAGCCACAGCGCCACTTGCAGCTTTTTTTTTTTTCTGCTTATGTGGTGCTGAGGAATCGAACCCAGGGTCTCAGGCATGCAAGGCAAGCGCTCTACCACTGAGCCACCTTCCCAGCCCATCTTCCATTTTATGATAAAGAATGTGAGAAGTAAAAGTGCACCATAACTTTGTAGCAGATCAGAAGTATTGCTTACCCTTTGTACAGATCTCTTTCCTCCCGTGGCCTGATACAGCAAATGAATATTCTTCTGAATGAGTTAGAGCCCTTAGGCCAGCCTATGTGGCTCTCTGATCTTGTCAGAAACTGTATAAGCGCCATGCTAGCTAGGGACTTTGTTCCATGATACAATTGGTTGGTTTGTCGGTCATGGGGCCTGAACTCTGGGCCTGGGCGCTGTCCCTCAGCTCTTCAGCTCAAGGCTAGTGCTCTACCACTTAGAGCCACAACACCACTTACGGCTTTTTTTTTTTTTTTTTTTTTTGCTTATGTGGTGCTGAGGAATCGAACCCAAGACCTCATGCATGCAAGGCAAGTGCTCTACCACTGAGCCACCTTCCCAGCCCCATGATACAATTACAAGAACTTTTTTTTTTTGGTCGGGCCTGGGCTCTGTTCCTGACCTCTTCAGCTCAAGGCTAGCATTCTACCACTTAAGCCACAGTGTCACTTCCAGTTTTCAGGTGGTTA